TTCAACATTAAATATCTCTGAGGCAGGACATACGTCATAATGACGAATCAGTTCGGTGGCGAGCTTGGCTGGTCTTATTAATACATTCGCTTCCCAAGCGACATGCTATGAATCATTCGATAGGCAACTGGGGAGATTCTATTAGACTGATTGGTTTGCATCTCTCTACGGTTGAATCTATGCCGATACATCTTTGTACCAACCATGCGCAAAATGCAACTGCCTCTTTTGATATATTCAAAGTGCTTGGAAAGATTGTACATGAATCTCGGGGAATGACAAATTATATTGCACACGATCTAAATATATTTCTAATCTCTTTCGGTTCAAAATTCATAATTGTATGTATATAATCCTTTATTAAAAAATGTCTATATTTATTAAGAACAAAATGTAATCAAAACCAAATTGTGAAGATCTTAATTTTCAAAGATGAAAATTAACAATTTCTCGTTTAATTCATTTGAAAAGTTTAAGCTACTTTTATTAAATCCATTTAATAGTCTATTTTTCTCAGTTCATGAGTTATATCATAATGCGAATACATAAAGCTTGAATGGTTCCATGAATGAGGATCTTGTGATGGAAAACAATCGATTAGCCCGCTCTGAATTCGTGGTATTCTCCTCGGGCGAATCGTATCAGCACATGACTCAGCTAAGCACCTTGATTGCAATGACAGAAACGCGCATGCAACATTCCCCTGACTGACCTAGTTCGAAAGTCGATCGCGTTAATTCAGGAAAGATTCATCGTCCAGTGGCGAAGAGCATTGTAAGAGGAATTTACAGGCCTGTGCAGCCTAAACCACCAAAGATATCGCGAAATTAATAATAAAATAATAAAAATATTTTTATGCAGATTCATTAACTTATTTGTAATTTTCGTTTATAATTAGCTTTATTATATTATGCTTGTTTAATGCTTTCTCGTTATAGCATCGGTTTCACGTTTTCTGGCATTTAATCTCGTTTCCCCTAGGTTTCATTAAACAGACTCTTCAAATATGGCTAATCTGCAGACTTTTTTTGTACCCTTAAAGGAGTTAACAGCCACGTAGTCGCAACCGCAACAACTTAGTTTACGTTAAAAACGTACTACGTTCCGGATAGGATTAGCGCGCCCTAATTTATTGACTCTTCGTTCCACTGGCACAGAGAAAAGGGGGCTCGAACCCCCGTGGGGTCGGAGTTAACGGTGTTTTACAAG